AGCTTGGACCACAATTGGGTAATAGAGAAAAGAACTATTGAAATTAGTCATTGTTCATGTACTAGAGATTTAATTTCCAGCGGAAACTTCAATTTATTCCCAAACAGAGGTATACCAGGTTTTGGCATGGGTTTAGGAATGACTTAGCAATTTGAAGGAAAGAAATAAGGTGATGCTTATCATATTTCTCTCTTCCCTCTTCCAGCTACATTCCCTGGAACCTCCATGAGCCAGAAAGAGGAAAATTTGACTTCTCTGGGAACCTGGACCTGGAGTACGTGGTGTTGCTGCTTCTGTGACCTGGCCCGGGGTGGGAGGCAGAGATATGTCTTCCTGGGGTGGATTAGGGACCCCAGAGCACCAGAGAGGGACGGGGACTGGAGCCCCTTTCTTAGGTCGCTGTGAGAGGCTCTGCATCAGGACCCGGGCACTCAGCAGCTGTGCCCTGACACGCAGAGGGGTGGGCCTGCAGCCTGGGGGCCACCTCTCTACTGCAGTCCAGCGGGGCGAAGACCCTTGGGCTTTCCTGCTCTGCTGGCGGGTGGGGCGGGGGACTGAGCCGTCCCTTCACCCCATCTCCCTGGTTGAGGGAGGGAGGGAAGGGGCCGGCAGCCCTGCCACCCTGTGGTGCATGTGGGCTCCCTCCCCTGCTGGCCTGGCCTGGACTGTCATGGGAGGGACATGCCACAGTTATGTCTTGTTTACCTCCCTAGGGCCTTTGTCCTGATGGCTGCAGAGGTCGGGCTGTGGGTGATCCTGCGTCCAGGCCCCTACATCTGTGCCGAGATCGACCTCGGGGGCTTGCCGAGGCAAGTGGGTCTCCAAGTCCAGAGTTGTGGTCATAGTAAATTTTACAAGAAGTAATATTTCAGTCTAGTAATAATGAAAACAACCTTCGTTTACTGAGCACATATTGTGCCTTGCACTGCATGTACGTCACCTCCTGTGGCACCTGCAGGAGCATGGTGAGGTAGGGGTGTCACTGCCATCCCCATTTCTCAGACGAGGAACTCTTGGTCCTAGGCTTTGGGCATGTGGACAAGAGGGTGCGCCTGGGGAGGTGAGCAGCAGGAAGCTCGAACTTTTCTCCCTGCAGAGGAGGGGCTGAGGCCACCTCTGTCCTTGTGCAATGGGAAGAAAGGGAAAGGGGCTTCAGAGCAGGCAAGGCAAGGTCCTGGCAGCGCTGGGCTTGTTCCAAGGCCCTTTGGTCTTTGTCCGACTGTGTGAGGGGAAGGCCCCCTTCTCCATGCACTGAGACCCTCAGCTCCCTTCCCTTCCTTCTCCCTTTTAATTGCCCTGTTCTTTCACTTGTGATGCTGGCGCTCAGGCCAGACGACTGAGTTTCAGGTGAGAATCCAGGAATCCTTCTGTTAATCCTAGGAGCTGACAGGACTCCCCTGTGTACTCCTGTTTAAATGGGGAATGCTCCATTTAAACAGAATTAAACACCTGAGCGCTTTTACTCCCCACAGTGAGATGAACACTTTGCTTTTCTCCAAGATGGGCTACTTCCCACATCCTTCTCAGGAGCAGAAAGAGCCTGAGCTTGAGGGAAGTGGGAGTTTGAGGAACAATGGTTCCTCCTGCAGGTTAGCTGGAGACCTGCGCCAGCACCTCACTGGTGACCTGGGGGTTCCTGGTTTATAGACTCTCACCCTGCACTTGGAGTCTTAGGTCTTAGAGGAAGTGTGAGTCTGTGCCTAAGGAACAGGCGCTGTGCTCAAGGGAAATGTCTTTAATGAACTAAAGAAGAATGGGGGAGAGTGTTCAATAAACAGCAAAAGAAAAGACTTACTAAGATATGGCTGTGAGAGCTTAGATGGGCTCAGCCCCTAGTCTGGCCAGATGCAGCTGAAGGTGCTTCTTAGCTGTGAAGTGACTTGCAGGTGGAGGTGGTGTGATTTCTTCCAAATCTCCCAAGTCTGTGAGAATGGACTGAAAAGCTCACATGCACAGACCCTCCCAGGCCCCTTGAGTGCTCCAGTACCAGGGCTTGAGGTGGATGGGAGGACGTCAAGCTGTGTGCAGGCAGCTCCCAGAAGGGAGCCACTGAGCCGGCCCTTCTCACCCCCAGCTGGCTACTGCAAGACCCCGTGTCACAGCTGAGAACAACCGACCAGCGCTTCATTGAAGCAGTCGATAAGTATTTTGATCATCTGATTCCCAAAATGCTTCCTCTCCAGGTAAAGCCAAATGACCTTTCCTCCTTTCTTGCATTCGCTTTAGGGAAGTAGTTTATTTTGGTTGCATCACCAGACACTCCACATCTAGTCCCTATGAGAAGTGAAGTTGACATTCTTGTAACTGAATTCTAGGCTCTCATCTCAAGGACAGTAGCTTTACTGGTCCTGTCGTGTGCCTTTACCCCAGGGCTTCCGGAAGGACTCACAGTACACAAGGCAGGGACCACACAAAGGGCTGGGTGGTTGCTGTGTGTACTGGATATTCACTAAATTCACTGACCTTCGTTCTGCTTGTTTCTACTCTTAAATTATCTTTGTTGTTTTAAATACTTAATCCAAGCACTTGGTAAAAAGGCTCAGAAGATACACAAGAATTTATGGTGAAATAGAATCTCCCCTCCCACCTTCCTAAAGCCATTCAGTTGTCTTTTCAGGTGACAGCCAGTCTTACCAGATCTATGTGTATCTTTCCAGAGACTTTCTACACACATGTATGTGTACGTGTGATCCTTTTTTTTATACAAGAATTTACAGTTCCTACTTGGAATTTTCCTTTGTTACTTGACAATATGTTTTTGAAACCTGCCATTCCTGTAAATGGCTGCATGGTGTTCCATGGTATGGATGTGTTGCACTTCACGTGACCAGCGTCCTGTTCACGGACATGCTGTCTCTGTGTGTGTTCACTTGCTGTTGCCCACATTCCAGTTCGATTTAGTCCCAAGCATGGTAAGAAATCAGACATCATGCATCTCCCTCTTGGTGGAGAACCCAGACTGTGTGCATGTGACAGAAATCCTTCATTTTCAGTGTCAACCTACACATATGGGCAGGTCTATACAAAAAAAGGACATTGTATCCTGCAGTCTCCAAGACAGCAATTGTTTAATTGTTGTGATATCCTTTTGTTTGATT